GGGGCGGGGTGTAGCAGCAGCAGCGCCTCACCCAGAATCTGCGAGGTGTTGCTCAGCAGGGCCTGCTCCCCGATCTTCTGGATGGCAGCAAAGTACAGCTCGGCCGCCTGGGATAGCGCTGGGGGGGAGAAGGGGGGTCCAGTCCCCGCCGCCTCCACCTGCCCCCACCTCCTCCTTCCCGCACAGGGTGTGGGGGCTGGGGCAGGGCACCCCGGTGGAGGTGAAGGAGAGGAGGCCCTGGGTGGTGTGTGGAGAGAGGGGCAGAGTGGGGTGCTCCGAGGAGGCCCGGGCTGGCACTGAGCGAGACGGCAAGTGTCTGTTGGGGTGGGGGGCAGGCGTGGGCCATGGGGAGTGTGGGCTGGAGGGTTGAGGGTGTCGGGGGGCGCCGGGGCGGGGCTCAGGGAGGCTGAGGGCTTTGAAGCTGAAGTCCCGAGGGGTGACGGGGGTGGGCGGTGCTCAGCAGCCACGGGGGCCCCTGGCCGGGCCACCTCAGGGCGCGCCCCTCTTGCTTGATACCGGTGGCGGGGTGATTCTGGGAAGCAGGGGCAGGGGCAGGCATGCACAGTGAGCGAGTGATAGATAAGGCCCGGTGTGCCTGGAGGGGTGAGGGCGCTTGGGTGCAAGGAGGCCGGCGACGGGGGGAGGGGTGAGGGTGGGTGGAGTGTCTGCTGTGGGGTGCAGACACTGCGGCGGGGGGCTCCGTCTGTGCGCCGGGGTCAGGTGGGAGGGCATGCTGCCAAGGGGCAGGCACTCACCATGGAAGGCCCTGAGGTAGTTGTTCCCCAAGTAGATCAGGTTCTCCAGCGCAGGGTTAAACTGCTCCATGATGCTCTGGAGCCCCAAGGAACAGGGGACAGAGATGGGGATGGGACAGGAAGGCGGGCCAGTGGGCAGAGGGCCTCAGGACCGGGGCACCCCCTGCCCCAGGGAGAGGCCTCTGACTCCATGGGGGTCCATCTAGAAACTTGGGGTCTCCCCGCATCCGGCCCTTGGCTGCCCGGGCCTGAGGCCGTATCTTGGGCTGCTGTTTCCAGGGTGCCCGGGGCCAGCTCCTGCTCACACACCTGTCCTGGGGGGACCTGGCTCCATGACAGTCGCCAGGGAGGCTCCCTCCCCTCGGGCGGCTCCTCTCTGGGCAGCCCCACTGGCCCAGGAGGCTCAGCCCTGCCCCGAGAACAGAACAGACACCAGCTGCTGACAGCCGCCTCGGCCAGAGCAGACCTCGCCGCTCAGAGAGGAGCCCGGCCGCAGGCCACGGCCGGCCCTGGACGGTGGAGGCCCTGGGCTGGGACTCCGCCTTGGGTCTTGCTTCAGATCCGGGCACCCTGCTCTCTTCTTCCCCTGTGAGCCTGCACAGCTTTGTAGCCTCTCTGGCCTCAGTTTTCTCCGCTATCAAATGGGGTGACTCCCCGTAGGTAGTGTGAGAAGGGATCCCACACACAGAATAGACAGCAACCTCCCTCGTGGGAAGCGGGAAGTGTGAGGAGGCTCAGAAGTGAGAGACAAGGGAGACTCAGAGACAGAGAACCCCCGCTCTGAGGCCAGGTTGCTCTTGGGCCTCTGCCCCCAGCGGCAGCCCCCAGCTTTCCTGCCTCGTCCAGAGTTTGGAAGTTGGGGGCTCCCAGCCTGCAGTCCCTGGGTGACTGGATGCGGCCCCTAGGTGCTGACTGCCCCCAGGGGCCCCCAACCCTGCCCCGGCCCACCCCGGCAGCTCCTTCCCAGGCCACGCGGCGGCCGCACCCGGCCTTGGGGAGCAGGCCCGACCTTCGTGCCGCGAGTGGTGCCCGCGGGCGGGGGGCGCTCACCTTGTAGATGGCCATGGTGGACCTGTAGAACTGGTCCATGTCGGGGGCCATGAGTGGCGGCACCCGATGCTGGGCGGGGGGCTGGCGGGCTGGCGGGGCCGGGGCTCTGCTGCCCACTGCTTAGCGGGCAGGGAAGGAGGCGGCAGAGTGGAGCCTGGGCACGGAGGCCGGAGAAGGAGGCGCAGCTTAATTATTCACCAGCCGGGACGTCAGAATGCGATCTGGGGCGTAACCAGACCCAGCGGGGCAGGCATCCTGTGACCTGCCCTTCAATTATTTACCCCTCCGAGCCTCGGGCTGGTGGGCCCGGGCGACGGCCACCGCCCGGCCCCTCTTCAAGGACGAGGCTCCGCAGGCCAGTCGGGGCCCCCAGTTCCGGGGGGCCCCCAGCCGCTGCCTGCCCATTCTGGGCGCTGCTCACCCTCTTGGGCCAGAGCTGCTCAGCACCCTCCTCTGGGGCCCTCCCGGGCAGAGCAGCCCCCCAAAGCAGAGCGTGGCTGTGCTCAGGCCACCCCACCCTGACCCTTCAGCAGGGCGAACACGCCCCAACGGCGAGGCTGCCCACCTGCCAGCTCCTCTGCCCGCTGCAGGGGGCAGCTCAGAGCCTGGCTGACTTGGCGAGACCCCCGCTGGCTCTCACCCCCTCCCTGGGCAAATGGGGCTCTCCCTCAACCCTTGGTGGGGCGCGTGGGCCGGGCTGCCACCTCTGAAGGCTCTCACAGGTCTGACTTGGGGAGGCCCAGAGAAGGGGGGCCCAGCCGGCAGGCACGGGAAGAAGGCGGTCAGGGCGGGAGCGGGCTGGGGAGCACGCACACCGCACAGGCAGACCGGCAGACCGGCAGACCGACAGACCGAGCTCTTTATTTGATTTATTTGGGATTTGAGGTTGGAGGCAGCCTGAGCCCCTGCCCCACCCCACCCCCAACCCGCCTTCTGTCCTGTCGGAAGAATAATGACGGGAGTGGCGGGACCGGCCTTTGAGGCCAGAGGAGCGCTCAGGGTGGGGCGGCCCGTGGGGTGTGTGTGTGCAAAGTCGAATGCCGCACCCCTCCTGAAGTGTGCCTGCTGATGGGGCGGGGCACGGCCCTTTTCTCTAGCTCCCACCCCCCAGGAAGAAGGCAGGGGATGGGAGGGGTGACTGTAGGCCTGGGGACCACGAAGAGCTCAGGGCCCCTGGGAGGCCAGGGCTGGGGTGTGCAGGCGCCCTTAGTGTTTGAGCTGGCGGGGGCGGGGGGCCGGGACCAGCTGTCCTTGGTGACGGGGCAAGGGCCCCAGCGAGGCCGGGGATGGCAGCCTTGAGTGGCAGGACGGGAGCAGAGGGGCAGGAGCCCCGGAACCGGCCTCGGGCAGGCGGCCTGTGGGAGCGCTGGCCGGGCGCATGGCGGCCTGGCAGCCTCACGGCGCGAGCAGCAGCTGGATGAGCTTCTGGAACTGCTCCCGCTGCTCGTAGATGTAGACCTCCGTCTCCCAGAGGGCGTTGACCAGCACCAGGTCACTGACCTCGTCCAGCATGATGTCTGCCCCCAGCTGGGGGTTCAGTCTGTCCGGGGCAAGAAGGAGCGGTCACCCCAGGACGCCCTGCCTGGGCGGGGACAGGGCTAGGGCTGGGGCAGGCCTGGGGCACGGGGCGCCCCTCGGGAGTGGGGACGGCCCCCAGGCTCAGCAGGCCGGAGTGGCCGGCGGCTGTTCAGCCCTCACCTGAAGTACTGGATGTCCACCATCTCACACCAGGCCCGGGCCCGGTCCACAGCGCGCCCGTCTGGGTCTGTGCACTGGCGAGAAGCAGCCCCGTGAGTGGCCAGCCGCACCCCACCTGCAGTCCCTGCCGGGCCCCAGGCTCCAGCCCGGCCTAGCCGGCCGCCCGCAGTGACTTCGGGCGAGCCCCTGCCTGGGCTGCTGCGGCTGCCCAGCTATGCCTCAGAGGGGCCCTGGACTTGGGGGAGGCGGGTGTGGACACGCTCAGGGCCGGTGAGCACGTGGCGGGACAGGCCGAGGGGCTGAGCCTCATGTCCCCACTTGCTACAGCTTTTGTCCAAGGGACGTTCTGGGGTTCCACATGGGAGGGGTCCGCAGCTAGCGGATGCAAGGAAGCCCCTTGGCAGGTGGTCACTGAGGGCCCCTGTCAGCACAAGTGCTTGACTCAGGCCCCCACCCCCACCCCCAGCTGGCGAACCAGAGAGATTGACAGAGCCCTGCCAGTCCCCAGAGGGCCCAGCGCCCCGCCTGGGCGGAGGGGCTTATACTCACACAGTCCACCACCATCTTGCCCAGTTCCTTGGCCCCAAAAACCGTCTTGGCCAGTTCCCAGGGGTTGCTGGGGCGGAAGACATCCACACAGGTCACCGGCACCTGGGGGGACCTCCCTGTGCCCAGAGAGACGACGATGGCGAGTTTCTTCACCTTGTCACCCCGACCCTGGGGGAAGAGAGCCATAGTTGGGGGAGACACTCTCCCCTGCTGGAACTTTCCTTGGGTGGGGGCACCCTGGGGGGAAAGAGGCCCACTGGGGGCCTGGGGATGGTGCTGTCTCCTTCCCTGCAGAACAAGCTGTGCGGTGGCTGGGCACCCCGGCCCTCACCGCCGGAGGCCCTCAGCCGGGAGGCCACCCTGCCTCCCGTGCCTGCCCCTAGAGGACGCTTGTCCCCGACGCCCAGCTGCTTCTGGGCCTTCCTGGTCACCCAAGACCCAGAGTCAGCCCAGACAGGGCACCCGTGGGGGGTGTCCTGGAGCTTCACAGATAGGAGCGCGTGGGAGCCTGCGACCATCTCCGGCAATGTCTGAGAGGGGCAGGGACAGAGCCAGGCAGCGCCAGAGGCCTGTGGCTCCGGGCCGCACTCCCTCTGCTGAGCCCTGCCCAGGCCACCTCCGTGCTCAGGGCCTGGGGCGGAGGCCACTGCTCTTCCCCGCGCCCAAGCTCTCCGGGCGGGGTCCGCGCCCTGAGCCGTTCCGAGCCCCAGGCCCTCTGAGCTTCCTCTCAGCACTGCAAACAGGAGTGAGGGTCCCCTGGGAGAGCGCCCTGGGGGGGGGGCACCCCTGTGTGCCTGCGCCCTCCCAGCAACGAGGCCCTGTAACCGGACCGGACACTGTTCCCCACTTCGTGTGTGTGGGGCCGTAGGGCCCCCCTTAGCTCCACACTCGAGGAGACCCCACTGATTGAGCAAATTCAACGTGAGAAAAACCGCTCTGGTGCGCCGGTGAGGAGCTGCGGGGACGCAGCCCAGGCCCCGGGGTCGCCCCTCGGGGTGCTGCAGCGGCGGCCGCGGGGGGCCCCCCAGCCTGGAGCGCACCCACCTTCCGAACCAAGTCCTGGTTGTACTCGTGGATCTCGGTCATGGCGTCCAGCGTGGGGTTGTTGGCCAGCAGCCCGCCGTCCAGGAAGCGCCCGTTGGGCCGGAAGTAGGTGGGGGCCGCGCCACTGCTCCGGGCTGCCCGCCACACCAGTTGCTCTGCGGGGGGGGGGGCACAGGACGGCTGTGAACCCCTGCACCCCAGATCGCGGGGGTGCGTGTGTGAACACGGCTGTGGGGAGGGGGAGCGGCCCCCCGAGGCCGTGCGTCTGGCAGGCCGTGTGGGAGGCAGGGAGCGGCCGGAGGACCTTTTCCGGGAGCCCCGGGCCGGGAGCACCCCAAGGGCTCTGCCGGCCTCCCCTGGGAAGACCCAGGAGAGCAGGCCGGGGCGGCGGGTGGGATGGTGGCGGGCGCCGGGAGAGGCCTGCAACCCCCAGCCCACAGCGGCCAGCCACTTCCCACAGACACGTCAAATGCGCTTCTAACCTGACGGCTGAGTCAGAGGCTTTAGGTTGATGTTCTGGCTGAAGCGGGGCTCCCGCGTGGGCTGGGGAGCCTCGTAATTGCGGAAGAGGTGGAGCTCGGCCGGCTGCCGGTCAGAGAGGGTCCCCGTCAGCATCACCCTGGAGAGGAGCAAGGAGGGGCGGACACCTGAGACCCTCGCCCTCCTCCACCACCGGCCTTGTCAGCCTTCGTCCCAGCGGCCACTGGGCTCTCCCGCGGCCAGCCACCCCTCAGACAGCCCTGGGGTTTACCCCGAGACTGTGGGGGGAGCTGGGCGGGCGCACAGGCCGCTAACAGCAGCGCCAGCCGTTCAATCGCCTGCTGGAGACAACAGGGTGCCGCTGTGGGTCAGGGCCGTGCAGGGCACCACCCCGGCGGGTCAGGGCCGTGCAGGGCGACCGGGACGTCTGTGTGGGCCGCGGTGAGCGCCGAGGGGACGGCTAAGTGGAAGGCAGGACAGTGGCCGCGCCAAGGGGTTGTTAAGCCTATGCACCCTTCGCTTGGCCAGAGAGTAGTTCTGGAAGGACCCACGAGCGGTGCCTGGCAACCACGAGCTGGCTCGGGCCGCGGCGCCGGGACAGGGGTGAGCGGCGACTTCTCGCCGTGCTGCCTTTGGGCCCCTTCCGTGTCCTACCACGTGCATCTGTAGCCTGTGGATGGGGGCTCCCCCGATGTTGAGAGATGCAGGCCAGACACCCTGAGACCCCATGGGGAGCGTACGCCCCTGAAAATGACCATGCATTCAGACCCTGACACGCCCAGGCTCTTGGCGCTGGGAATTCTCTGCCCTAAAGGCGCCAGCCGGAGTCCACGTATGCGGCTCCTGCCACAGAGAAGAGGGGGAAGGAGAACCCAGGCGGCGGCAGGGGCGGGGAGCTCCGTAGTCACGCCAGACGCTGCCTGCGAGGAGCTCGGACGGGGCGCGCGGGCCTGTGACTGCTCCCCTGTGGAGCGGAGGGGAGTGGGGGAGTCTGCGCAGGACGCAGCCAGCTCCAGGCCTGGGACACCCTGGAAAGGGTGCGTGGACAACCCTGCCGCGAAAGTAAGTGCCAGAGAGAGCATTTAGGAAAAACCTTAGACGGAACAAAGACCTGGTAAGAGGTATGAGGATTCTCATTCCGAGGATGGGAACCCCCAGAAGTAAAAGTTGCACGGAGCCAGCTTCGATCCGAAGGGAGACAGCATGCACTTCAGTGTTGATGGCCCAGGGGAGCCAGATGGACAGACGTCAAGATCCAGGGTGCAGCAAAGGCTAGGGGTCTCATGGGAGATGCCCCCACTCAAGGTTGGGGCCCCGAAGGGCCGCACTCGCAGGACAAAGGTGAACCAGAGACAAACCAGCCCCTTTCTCACCCCCTGGCAGCGTGAGGGAAGTGGCCTTGGCACTAGGCAAAGAAGGAAGGGGAGTGAGTCCCTGAAAACACACAGCCACGAAGGAACCCTCCAGCAGGCGTCACCTAAACTCAGCACCGGAGGGAAGTCCCGAGACGGCCAGCACTGCCCACGGCAGTGCGCCCACATGCCTGGAAGAGGGAGACGAGCCACCCGCAGGAACAGGCCCCCAGGCCTCACGGGGGCGGTCAGCGCTAAGGAACACCGCGAGCTTAAAGACGGAGGGATGGGGCACTCGGGAGACTGAGTGAGACAGTCCCGAAGGCTCTGCTGGTGGGTAATCAGCACCAACAACCCGAGCGCCAAAAGAAAGTAGCTTAGATAGAAGGAAAGTGGCCACAGGGCAGAGTTCGGGCGCCAGAGAGTGACGCACACAGACACGCCGACGTAGCTGTGTGCCCAGACTCCCGGGGTGACTGCAGCTCCGGAGCCTGCGGGTGCCACCTGCCGCCGAGTCTCCGGCCGCGGCCAGACTGCTGTCAGCTGACCTCGGCCGTGTGGGCCGCTGCGGGAGCTGGAGGCACAGTCGAGGCTTCCTCCCCGAGGCCTGGCCTGCCAGTACCCACTGGGCAAGTCGGAACAAACCTGAGTGAACACCAACTTTTAAAATAAAAGTGATGCCTTGTAAGGCGCAGCACAAAAAAAAAAAAATCGATTTAAAACAGAAAGTCAATTAAGATAAGGACGGTATATGGAGTTAAAGTATCTAGCAATCCTTGATTATCTGAGGGAGAGGAGTGGGAGCCATTAAATTTAGTCTTTTACGGTTAGGTATACACTCACAAGTGCACAGGTGCAAATTTCAAACTGCAGGGACACGGTGGGGTCCAGTTGTGGAGAGTGCCGTAAACCCAAGAGAAGGCAAGAAAGAGAGAGAGAGCAAAACAGGATGACACGTGTTGCCCCGAATGGCTCAGTCACCGTGTGGCCACCAGTGAATGGCACAGACTGTGATGTTAATCCGAGGAGGGGCCTGACAGTCGAGCCAGTCTGCTCCACCAGACCAGTTGATTTGCGGAAGTAAGGCCGTCACTGCGAACTACAAGCCCGTGAAGGCCTAAATGTTCCAGGTAAGAAAGAGTACCAGGGGCTGGCCCAACTCCACCTCGCCGTCCGCCGGAGATGCGCTTGGGGCCCGAGGCTTGAAGCAGGGCGAGCTAGAGAGAGCACAGATCCCCCCGGGCGCGGGGGCACCTCTGTTGGCATCACGCAAAATGGAGTCGAGGACAAAGCCATCCCTGCCACCAGAAGGACACATGCACATTTAAGCTACCTGCCCTTATCAGCACAGTGTCAAATACTAGAGACAGGAAGACAAAGATAGAACTGCAAATCCCACCGTAGCAGATTCTGCAAATCTCGCTCAGAAACTGACAGGAATAAAGCAGACAAAGGATTAGTAAATCCATGGAAGGTCTGAAAATTTGAACAACGGTCTTAGCCAACACGACTTCATCAAGGATAGATCTCGGCAGCCCAGTGACCAGCAGCCAGCTGCATCTCTTTGAAGGTGCACGTGAGGATGTTTCCAGAAACTGACTATGGAAGACACAACTAGCGTCTCAGCAATTTTTTTTTTTATTTTTTTTCTGCAAAAAAAAAAAAATTTATGTATGCACACAAGAACTGGGGTACAGGCCAGAGGAGCGGGGGGTGAGAGGCTTCCCCAGAGACAGAGTGGGGAGCAGAACAGGCAGATTAACGAAGTACACTGCTGAAGGGAGCAGCGGGGAGACAGGAGCGGCCTCCTGCGACACGTGGGTCACTCCCCGGCCGGGGATTGAACTCGTGCTGCCGTGGCTGCTAACAGCTTCATAGTGCTGCACTTCAACCCGCTGCGCCACCAGGGAGGGCCCTGAGCAAGTTTTAAAGGGCTGGCTGGCATCAAACAGAGCATGCCCTCAGGTCACAGAGTCAAAAAAACGGCCCAAACTCAGAGAAAGCAGGAGGAGTGAAGAGATAAGAGCAGAAGTCAGTGAGACAGAAAACAAACAGACAAGGACAGAGGCGGCCTGGACTTAGCCCACTGGTGCCGCGGATCGGCCCGGCACAGGCCCCAGCCAGGAGGAGAAGCGGCCCGCAGGCGGGAGAGGGGGTGCGCATGGCGGGGAGCTGGCTTGTCCCTGTGTGCACAAGCGCTGGGTCCGCCCTGACAGAAGACTCGGCCGGCCGGTGGATGAAGGCGCTAAGCAGGAAAGGCAGCTCTCGAGTTTTCCCACCGACACAGGAAGCAGCTTCCTGCCCCAGGCTAAGGAAGTGGTTCCTGAGCGAGAGGGAAAAAGCACAACTGCACAGGGAGACATTTATCCGTTCCACGGTGTCAGGAACATCCGTTCTGCAACGAAACCCCACGGGGAGGGTAAACGGACAAGGCCCGGCCTGGGAGAAGGGACCCCCCGCCGTGGTCCGTCAGCACGCGTTTTCAGAATACGGAAAAGATCACGCCTTTGACGAGCCAAAAGTCTGTCACACATGCCAGTTTTGCCAAAAACAGGCAAAACCCCTGCACAAGAGATCCGCATGGCCTCCGAACATAGGAACAGGCATGCAGCCTTCTAGGCGGGAAGATGAAAATATCAACCAAATGGAGGAGCGCCCCCCACCGTACGCCCCCCCCCCACCTTACACCGCCCCCACTGGCCAGGGTGGAAATGCTGGCCGATAATCAGACGCTGGAGAGAACGCAGAGCACACGCTGCTAACGGGGTGACAGGAGAAGCCCCACTCGGGGAGGCACTGGGCAGACCGCCGTGGGGCCGGGGCCCTGAGACTCAGTGGCTTGCACGAGGCCGCCTGGGGGAGCGCACGCCTGGGCCAGGGGCCGCCCTCAGGCTCACTGCCCAGCCCGGCGCCCAGCCAGGTGTCCAGGGTGGGGTGGAGGAGCGCAGGCCGTGGCCCGGTGGGCCCCTCTTCCGCCTTGCAAACAGCCTCACTGGCACAGCGACCTTGCTGCCCAGCGGCCCGGAGCGGAGGGAGGGACAGCCGCAGCCAGAGACAGGACAGGCCCGGCCACGGCCGCCACGCTGGCGGCTCCTCCCTCGCTGGGGAGCGTCTTCTCCACTGAAAAGCCAGGAGACCCTGTCACCACTCAGAACGGTGCGGGGCAAGGGGCAGGAGGCAGGCGCTGGGGCGGAGCGGTGAGGGGAGACACAGTCAGGGCGTGTGGATATGGCTGGTGGTAGGCGGGTGTGCTTTTATAATGCTCAATGAACTGCTTCGTGGACTCTTTAAAAAGCATGTTTGAGCTCTTCCCAAGAACGAGAAGATGTGTCTAGGATAAAATATTGAAATTTTCTTTCAAAAGATTGTCTTTTGGGCTCTCCCTGGTGGTACAACAGGTTAGGACACAGCATTGAGGCTGACTGCAACCACTTTGGCAAGAGTTCGATCCCCAGCCCCGGAGGTGACCCACAGGGCGCAGCAGACCTCTCCTGACCCGCCCGCTGCTCCCCTCAGCAGTGTAGTTCGTCGACCTGCCTGTTCTGCTCCCCACTGTCTCTGGTGAGTCCTCTCACCGGCCCTGCACATCTGGCCCGTACCCCAGCTCTGTATGCACAAATAAATCTTTAAAATAATAATAATAATAAGTGAATAAAGTAAAGTGGCAGGTACCAAATCAGCACCCAAAAATCGGTGGCATTTATGTATATGAACGATGTAACAGAAGAAAAGGAAACAAACCATGATGAGCTACCTGGGAATAAACTGAAGGAGAGGAAGGGTGTGTACAGTGAAAACTATAAACCTCTGTTAAAGGAAATCAAAGAAGTCACGAAGAGATGGAAAGCTGCCCAGGGCCATGAGTGGGGAGAATTAGTAGCGTTGAAATGGCCATGTTACCCAGAATAAGGGACAGAGCGAACGCATTACCTCTGAAACACCACTGACTTCTCTGAGGAAGTACAACAACTGTCAGATTCATGTGAGCCATAAGAGGCCTTGAGCAGCCAAAGCAATCTTGAGAGAAAAGAAGAAAATGGAGGCGTCACTCTTCCTGACTTCAAACGTGCCACACAGCACCAGTCGCCACAGCAGCACGGTCTGGGCAGAACAGACCCAGACCGATGGCACAGAAGTGAAAGTGCAGAGACAAGTCCAGTACGGAGGGACAGTTAGCCTCCCACAAAGGAGCTGGGGCCGGAGAGCAGACAGGAGGCTGCATTTTTCACCAACAGAGCTGGGACATGGTGTGCACACATGTAAATGAGCAAGTAAGTAAAGCAAGGCCCGCATGTGACCCCGCACACAAAACTTAATTCAAAATGGATTAAAGGTTTGGACACAAGAACCAGAGCAAGTACTTGAAAGAAAATGTCGGGACACACACCAGGACATCTGTCGCCAAGCTGGACTTGGGGACACGGCACAAGGGAAACAAAAGGCACAATAAACAAGGGCTACACCCAGC